TCTAGCAGCTGACAATGAAAAGGTCTTATTTGAGCGCATATCAACCAATGTCCAGAACAACCTAAACGTTTGGTGCATATAACGTCTAGAGTATATAGAAGGGGTGGGGTTTAATACAATCGTTGCTGATTTCCCATTTGTTTGAAATGTGCTGAAACTCACATGAAATGTAGATTATTATATACCATCATCGAATACAGGGTGCAAAAATTCTAGCAGCCGACCTTAAAAAGGTCTTATTTAAGCGCATATCAATCAATGTGGCAGAACAAACCTAAACGTTTAGCGCATAAACATGTAGAGTATATCGGTGAGGGGGTTTCGGGCTTTAATACAGTCGCCGCTATTTCCCATTTGCCTTAATTTTGCTGAAAATCACATGAAATGTAGATTATCATATACCTCATCCAATACAGGGTGCAAAAATTCTAGCAACTGACAATAAAAGGTCTTATTTGAGCGCATATCAATCAATGTGGCAGAACAAACCTAAAGGTATAGGCGCATAACATGTAGAGTATATCAGTGAGGGGGTTTCGGGCTTTAATACAAGTCGCCGCTATTTCCCATTTGCCTTAATTTTGCTGAAAATCACATGAAATGTAGATTATTATAAACCTCATCCAATACGGGTGCAAAAATTCTAGCATCCGTCGACATTAAAAAGGTCTTATTTAAGCGCATATCAACCAATCTCCAGAACAAACTTAAACTTTTGGTGCATATAACGTCTAGAGTATATAGAAGGGGGTTGGGGTTAATACATGCGATGCTGATTTCCCATTTGCTTTAAACGTGCTGAAACTCACGTGAAATGTAGATTATTATATACCTCATCGAATACGGGTTGCAAAAATACTAGAAACTGACATTAAAAAGGTCTTATTTGAGCGCATATCAATCAATGTGGCAGAACAAACCTAAAGGTATAGCGCATAACATGTAGAGTATATCGGTGAGGGGGTTTCGGGCTTTAATACAGTCGCCGCTATTTCCCATTTGCCTTAATTTTGCTGAAAATCACATGAAATGTAGATTATTATATACCTCATCCAATACGGGGTGCAAAAATTCTAGCAGCTGACAATAAAAAGGTCTTATTTGAGCGCATATCAACCAATGTCCAGAACAAACCTAAACGTTTGGTGCATATAACGTCTAGAGTATATAAAAGGGGATGGGGGTTAATACATTCGTTGCTGATTTTCCATTTGCCTTAAACGTGCTGAAAATCACATGAAATGTAGATTATTATATACCTCATCGAATACGGGGTGCAAAAATACTAGCAGCCGACATAAAAAAGGTCTTATTTAAGCGCATATCAACCAATGTCCAGAACAGTCTTAAACGTTTGGCGCATATAACGTCTAGAGTATATAGAAGGGGGTTGGGGTTAATACAATTGTTGCTGATTTCCTATTTGCTTTAAATGTGCTGAAACTCACATGAAATGTCGATTATTATATACCTCATCGAATACGGGGTGCAACAATTCTAGAAACCGACATTAAAAAGGTCTTATTTGAGCGCATATCAATCAATGTGGCAGAACAAACCTAAACGTATAGCGCATTATATGTAGAGTATATCGGTGAGGGGGTTTCGGGCTTTAATACAGTCGCCGCTATTTCCCATTTGCCTTAATTTTGCTGAAAATCACATGAAATGTAGATTATTATATACCTCATCCAATACGGGGTGCAAAAATTCTAGCAGCTGACAATGAAAAGGTCTTATTTGAGCGCATATCAACCAATGTCCAGAACAAACCTAAACGTTTGGTGCATATAACGTCTAGAGTATATAGAAGGGGGTGGGGTTAATACAATCGTTGCTGATTTCCCATTTGTTTGAAATGTGCTGAAACTCACATGAAATGTAGATTATTATATACCTCATCGAATACAGGGTGCAAAAATTCTAGCAGCCGACATTAAAAAGGTCTTATTTAAGCGCATATCAATCAATGTGGCAGAACAAACCTAAACGTATAGCGCATAACATGTAGAGTATATCGGTGAGGGGGTTTCGGGCTTTAATACAGTCGCCGCTATTTCCCATTTGCCTTAATTTTGCTGAAAATCACATGAAATGTAGATTATCATATACCTCATCCAATACAGGGTGCAAAAATTCTAGCAACTGACAATAAAAAGGTCTTATTTGAGCGCATATCAATCAATGTGGCAGAACAAACCTAAAGGTATAGCGCATAACATGTAGAGTATATCAGTGAGGGGGTTTCGGGCTTTAATACAGTCGCCGCTATTTCCCATTTGCCTTAATTTTGCTGAAAATTACATGAAATGTAGATTATTATATACCTCATCCAATACAGGGTGCAAAAATTCTAGCAGCTGACAATAAGAAGGTCTTATTTGAGCGCATATCAACCAATGTCCAGAACAAACCTAAACGTTTGGTGCATATAACGTCTAGAGTATATAGAAGGGGGTGGGGGTTAATACAATCGTTGCTGATTTCCCATTTGCTTTAAATGTGCTGAAACTCACATGAAATGTAGATTATTATATACCTCATCGAATACGGGTTGCAAAAATACTAGAAACTGACATTAAAAAGGTCTTATTTGAGCGCATATCAATCAATGTGGCAGAACAAACCTAAAGGTATAGCGCATAACATGTAGAGTATATCGGTGAGGGGGTTTCGGGCTTTAATACAGTCGCCGCTATTTCCCATTTGCCTTAATTTTGCTGAAAATCACATGAAATGTAGATTATTATATACCTCATCCAATACGGGGTGCAAAAATTCTAGCAGCTGACAATAAAAAGGTCTTATTTGAGCGCATATCAACCAATGTCCAGAACAAACCTAAACGTTTGGTGCATATAACGTCTAGAGTATATAAAAGGGGATGGGGGTTAATACATTCGTTGCTGATTTTCCATTTGCCTTAAACGTGCTGAAAATCACATGAAATGTAGATTATTATATACCTCATCGAATACGGGGTGCAAAAATACTAGCAGCCGACATAAAAAAGGTCTTATTTAAGCGCATATCAACCAATGTCCAGAACAGTCTTAAACGTTTGGCGCATATAACGTCTAGAGTATATAGAAGGGGGTTGGGGTTAATACAATTGTTGCTGATTTCCTATTTGCTTTAAATGTGCTGAAACTCACATGAAATGTCGATTATTATATACCTCATCGAATACGGGGTGCAACAATTCTAGAAACCGACATTAAAAAGGTCTTATTTGAGCGCATATCAATCAATGTGGCAGAACAAACCTAAACGTATAGCGCATTACATGTAGAGTATATCGGTGAGGGGGTTTCGGGCTTTAATACAGTCGCCGCTATTTCCCATTTGCCTTAATTTTGCTGAAAATCACATGAAATGTAGATTATTATATACCTCATCCAATACGGGGTGCAAAAATTCTAGCAGCTGACAATGAAAAGGTCTTATTTGAGCGCATATCAACCAATGTCCAGAACAAACCTAAACGTTTGGTGCATATAACGTCTAGAGTATATAGAAGGGGGTGGGGTTAATACAATCGTTGCTGATTTCCCATTTTGTGAAGAAAGCAACTGTACGAACATGAATTGCAATTGCTCGACATTTATTTCCGCTTCAAGGCGTTAACATTTAAAATAGGCAATGTCTGCCTGTAATACCAATACACATACATGATGCAAATTGCTATGTACGAACATGAAAACTCAGGAACATAATTCTGCGAAACTCAAAACCAAAATACATGTAATATAATCCTATCTGCAATATCAAACTGTGAGAATTAATTTGTCAGAATAATCCTGAGGATCTCTGGTCACGTGATCACCAGAAAGGATAGTAGCTCCTCCCGGTAGCCCCCCAATTCATGGGGCTCTGAACGTGATCCACCAGCAAGATAGTAACTCCCGCTGATATCCCCCTCTTCTTGGGGTTCCTGTCCCCCTCATCACTCCTAAACGCGGACGCGTATCCCGGCCTGCTTGGCCAAAGATATTGGCAGTCCCGCGTGTTCAAATTACATTATATAAAATTCAAACCTCTATACCGTAACTAACTTAAACTACCATCCTTGTTCTCTGAATGAATATGTATTCTCTAACCTTGAACACATCTACAAAAACATACATATAACGATAATTACATGTATACTCGTGATTGATCTCTCCAATCACCCCAACCTCCCAACCAAAAACAACACGTCACAATGACCTGTAACTTGAACACACAGGATTAAAATCTCCGTGCGGCCCAGCCTCCCAACCGTAAGACATGTGATAATGGCCTGTAATTAAACACAGGATTTGGTTCTCCATGCAGCCCAACCTCCCATCCGTAAATCATGTGAAAATGACCTGTAGATAAATACAGGATTTAACTGTCCATGCAGCCCAACCTCCCATCCGTAAATCATGTGAAAAAGTCCTGTAGATAACTACAAGATTTAACTGACCGTGCAGCCCAACCTCCCAACCTTAAAACGATGTGTGGCAATGACCTGTGAACAGGATTAACTCCCCGTGCAGCCCAACCTCCCAACCTTAACAGGGTGTCACTAATAAAATGTAATAGACTCAGTTTAAGACTTCAAGACCACCAGAACCTTACTCAAAGTGTTTACACTAACATAGTGCTAAATACACATACATCCTACCCTGGGCACTTCCTGCCCGGCCCTCCAACTAACTGCATGATCAAAGCTAAACAATACACAATAATATTATGCTGCATAACCTCCACGCCCAGTATCTCCATATCTGAACTTTGCCACCTTGTAATGTTAATACTATTCCTGTGCCAAAGTACCTGCCCCATACCTTCCTCCTAACCACCTAACCTTAAGGCAGGCTATAGCCAGTGCAGGCAACATAACCACTGTGACCTCTGCCCTGATATATATCACTCCAACATAACTCCAGCTTAAATCCTTTGTGGTTCTTGACTCGGGACTAAGGCTTGAACTATGTACCAACTTATGGAGAAGGTTATGACTATTTCCTATTTTCAGACATGCCCAATTAAATCCACCTTAATGTACAAGAATTTGCAACTACCTCGCTCCCCAATCTTTGGCCTTGGAGCAGAATGTGTGCATAGAACATGTCCCCTTAACAACAATAATACATCATTGTCTTTAACTGTTACAAACATGTCTGAGTACAAACTCCCACTAACTATTCCTCATTCGTTGTTACACAACCTCGTAACGTGTGAACCCTAAATAGTCACTTGGGAATGGGTGGGGGGGAAACAATCGACTGCCTTGAACGGAAAATGTAGCGAGAATGGCTATTCAAAGCGCGCTCATTTGCACGCATAACTTTGCCAAATTATTTCCGCACTAGAAAATGTTCACATGCACACCACATGAGTCGGATCTTTACGCGCATGTTTTGATACTTCTGACCCCAAAGTTTGTTGACCTGATTCGAACTCTTGCTTCTCCCAAAATGTGCTGATCAGTTTATGCTGATCACATTATTTTGTGAAGAAAGCAACTGTACGAACATGAATTGCAATTGCTCGACATTTATTTCCGCTTCAAGGCGTTAACATTTAAAATAGGCAATGTCTGCCTGTAATACCAATACACATACATGATGCAAATTGCTATGTACGAACATGAAAACTCAGGAACATAATTCTGCGAAACTCAAAACCAAAATACATGTAATATAATCCTATCTGCAATATCAAACTGTGAGAATTAATTTGTCAGAATAATCCTGAGGATCTCTGGTCACGTGATCACCAGAAAGGATAGTAGCTCCTCCCGGTAGCCCCCCAATTCATGGGGCTCTGAACGTGATCCACCAGCAGGATAGTAACTCCCGCTGATATCCCCCTCTTCTTGGGGTTCCTGTCCCCCTCATCACTCCTAAACGCGGACGCGTATCCCGGCCTGCTTGGCCAAAGATATTGGCAGTCCCGCGTGTTCAAATTACATTATATAAAATTCAAACCTCCACCCAATACCTTTTTTTTTTTTTTTTTTTTTTTGTGATTAATTAATTAATTTATTATTATTGTTTGTTTTTTTAAAACTAGATTCAGCTTCTATACAGATCTCTTGAGATCTCCTACTTTCTCCCCCGGTTGCTGTAGGTATTCATCCTGACCTATTTAACCATACACTCATGATGTCATCATGTGAACTATGCTCATTGCCGTTCACTTCTACACTTGTGTCATGCATTAAAGTTGGGTAACTATACATTTCATGTTGAGGTGTTAATGCATTTGCATTCTAAACTGTTTGGAGCTACTCCTGCTGCGCGAGGAAAGATAGGGGCAAAACCGGCTATTGTGATCGGACTTAAAGATCCGTCGAGCTAGCTACATTTCGTAGTCGGGAAAATTCCCCTATGGCCCACTGGTTCCTGAAACATTTAGTGCGACCAAGTCTTACTGACTCCAGTCCTTGCCAGCAGACTCAGGCTCCCTTATCACTAGACAATTATAATGTAATGCCATGTGACTTCAGATTTTCCAGATTCAGAATCAAAACATTTCCACCTCATAAGATGAACAAAGCCAAATACATTTACATTGACGAATCATACATCACCCTTTTACATGCGCACTGACTGCCTTATCCCCATAGGTAAACAAATTTGTGTCACAGTATATATCTTTTATAGATTACTTATTGAAACAAGCATGACTTGACAGTACAGAGTTATATATTCAATGTATCAGAATCTTCCACGACTGAATTACTTTTCAGTGTGTAATAGTATTTCTCATGCCTCCCGTTACCTGGCTATCATCTTATATTTTCACACCCAACCTCATGGAATAACCCAAATATAACTCAATTCAACTAATTGACTTTTGTCGCTCACTTTAGGTTTACATAGAATACTATTGACATTAGGCTGAATCTGTTCAGAGAAGGCCAGTGTCCTTGGCTGCAGATTCGAATTTATCGATGAGCATGTCCGAGCCCACATCTGAGAGATGAATTCCATCCCTATGGAACAGATTGTGCTCTTTGGTATCTATGTTGTGCACTATCATTGATGTGTTCACCATCTGGGAGATTCTCCTCTTTGCGAATTTGTTAAGTGACTTCCGCACACCATCCATTGTCTCTTGTGATGTTGGGCCTGGTCTGCTACCGTAGTAAAACAATCTTGGAAGAATACCAGACCAGGCTATGTGGGTTCCTGGCATTCTTGCTCGTAGAGTTTGAATTGCTGTATCGATTGCGATTCTGCAACGGCATGCATCTCTCTGACCCAAGTCGTTTGTTCCCAGGTGAACGATCGCCAGTGCAGGTGGGGCGTTGTAATTCAGCCTATTTGTGACCATTCGGGGGAAGTCATGGAGAGTAGCACCTCCTTGACCATGCCACTGTACTGCACCCTTCTCTGCTCCCAAGTGCAGGCGGTTCTGTGCAGTGGCTCGCTCTTTGGCCCTTCTTACGATACTGTCCCCCACTATCCAGACTCGGTTGCGTACTCGTCCTGAAATAAAATAGTTAAACTCCCGAAAGTAACATGTTCATATATTTGGGAAGAACATATAAAATTTTCTTGTGAGCTTTATTTTCATAATTGTAATAACTCCCTAGTACTTAGTATGGAGTAACTGTAACTTATCTTATATAGCGCAAATAAACTTCACTGCGCCACCTACCCATCTTCCTAATTTGTTCTGGTGGCACACCATTCAAAGCAGCTGTGGTAGCTGCCCCAATTCGGAAAGAGTGAGTCCCATACCGACTAACATTCGCCCCAATTTGCTGAATGTTCTTTTTCAGGACTGCACTGAACTGGTACCTTGTAAGGGGGGAGCCATTCTCATGACAGAATAGTAGACCCTCTACCTGTGGCCTTGCTTGTAAATATGATTTCATGGCCTGTACTGGGCATACCCCCTCTACCCGGTTTGCATTAATCCTCAAAGTGGTAGATTTCCCATATTGGTCTGTCTTAGAAAATCGTATTTGTAACAGTAAAGTTTCAGGAATGCCTCGGCCTAATTGTACATCTGTGATATTCAACGCCTTCCTTGTATCATCACCCTTCCCTCGGATGGTGAACTCCCCTATTCTCAGGAAACCAAAGAATGCTAGTAAGTACGCTGCCTTGAACATGATTGCTTCGTATCGTGAAAAACATACATATGCTAGGTTTGGCAACAGTTGTCGCATTAGCTCCCATGTGATGGGTCTTCTAGTATCTACACAACATTTGTCTCTTCTACTACCTTCTTGCATTTTCCTAATCAAAAAATGTTTTGTGGGATCTGCCCAACCATGCATGTTATGTAAATATGCTAGGGCTGCAACATGCACTGTGATTGTCGAGGGTGCTTTCCCACTGATAGAAAGTTGGGCAATAAATGCCATGACCTGTTTCACTGATGCCGGCCAAGAAGGATTCAACTGGTGATTCAACCGAAATTCCTGAAAAGAATCCACTGCCCTCTGATACACGCGCTGAGATCCTTCCCCTAGAGATTGTCCCAACAGCCTCTGTGTTTCTTTTGCTAGGTCTGTAATATTCCAGGCGGTATTAGTGAGGCCCTTTCTTCCGCCAACGGCGCCAGCTTGCGAAATCGGTACATCTGGAATCGGGAAAGGGAGTCCGCAATACCATTATCATATGTGTGTACATGAACTGCCTTAAACAAGATATTTTGCCTCAGACACACCAAGACGAACGATCTCACCAAAGCCATGATTTTTGTACACGATGATGTCTGTTTGTTTATTGCATACATCACTGACATGTTGTCTGTGTACACGACAACTTTCTTGTTCTTTAGCTCATCTCCCCATATTGACACTGCAAGTACAATAGGTACCATCTCTTTCCATGCTATGGAAGTTCCAGTGATTATTTCCCGTGAAGACCATTTCCCATTGAACCATTTGCCTCCGAAGTAGCCGCCAAAGCCTATTGCTCCACTTGCATCTGTGTAGAGGCTCATTTCTCTACTATTTACCCACCTTTCCTGTGTAATTACTGTTACGCCATTATAATACTCTATGAACTCCAGCCATGCTCTCAAGTCTAGCTGAGCACCCTCCGAAATGGACAGTGGCTTAGAACTAGTCTTCTCTCCCTTTATTAGGTCTATCAACCGGCGTAAGAATGCCCTTCCTGGTCGCACAGCCCGACTAATAAAGTTCAGTGACCCAATGACTGATTGGATCTCCTTAACTGTTACATATTTGTGTGACAACACCTTCTTAATCTTGCGCCTAACCTCAGTAAGCTTATCATGTGGAACTCGAACCTGCATTAACACAGAGTCAAGTTCTAACCCGAGAAATGTCAATCTTTTGGTAGGCCCCTCGGATTTCTCTGCCGCTAATGGAACCCCTAACTCCTCACAGATTCCTTTGAGAACTTGTACCATCTCGAGGCATGACACGCCCCCGTGCTCTATTGAACTAACACACAAAAAGTCATCAACATAGTGTATAATCCCGTTTGAGCCACTTCGCTCCCGAACACAATATTCTATGAATGTGGAAAAGGTCTCGAAATACGCTGGAGCACATCTGACCCCCATGGGCAAGCATTTGTCGAGATAATATTTCCCCTCAAATTTGACCCCTAACACCTCAAAATCTTTCGGGTGCATAGGCAACAATCGAAAGGCGGACTTGATATCCTCCTTAGCCAAGTCGGCTCCCATTCCAGCCTCGGCGACCATCTCAACCGCTGTATCAAATCTAGTATATTCCACTTTACAATGCTCATCTGCAATAAAATCATTCACAGAGTATCCAGGCGGGTATGATAAATGATTGATTAATCGATAATCCCCCGGGGATTTCTTTGGCACCAGGCCAATTGGGTTAGTTCTCAAATTTTTTAGTGGCCTGGACTCAAAGGGACCTATGTATCGCCCTAGCTTAATCTCCTTCCGTATCTTCTCTCGTGTAATGTCCTTGTTATTTTCTGCTGATTTTAGGTTGGGTAAGTCTACTGGCATGCGAGGGCCTGTATAATTCAAACAAAATCCTTCTGTGAAACCACTTTCCAAAAACCTGGCTGCTCGCTCATTTGGGTAGCTTTTTAACAATTGTTGTAGGCTCTTTATTTTAATGGGTGACTTCCCCAAGGATATAACCTGTCCTGTAATCTGTACATCTCTACTGTTACTGTGTATTTCACCTTCAAGCTTGTCCTGATTTCTATTTTTTGTGTGTTCTATCTGTCTCCTAGGAATTGCCTTTTCCTTACTGAGCTTTGGGTTTGGGGGCTTTTGAGTTGGATTGATTGTTTGGGCAGAAAACCTTGCCGTGGCCACTTGCTCCACACAGGGAACACTTGTGCGCGTACCTACAATCTTTCCGGCTACAAGCCCCTGACCTGAAGTTGAATTCGTGACAGATTCCACTGCGAAAATTGGGTGACCTGGGGGGCACAAACCTACCCTTGCCCTGTGTTTGGCTAGTGCTAGGGTTATATGTTCGCTTCCATTCCCTCCTGTTGGACCATGGGGCCGATCGCCCGAGTGGACGGTCTTGGCCACGAACTCCCCGAGGAGGTCCCCCTCCCACTACATGAAGGAGCCACAATTCTCCATCTATACCTGCCCAAGATCCACCTTTCTTGTGGTAGCGGTGACGAAATTCGATATCATAATCTCTCCACCCATACCCATAATAGCGCGAAGCAGCAGATCGAATAAGGTGGCAGTATTTCAGTAAGTCTTGTGCGCAATTCAAATTTGCTTCCAAAACAATGCTAGCATACACAAGAAATGCATTAGTCCACAACTCTATGGTTGCAATCTTATTCTTGGATGTCGCGCTGACAGGTTTCAATACCAATCTCCCGTCTTCCTGAGTCATTGCCAAATTCGTCCTTTGTTCGTCTCTAGCTTCCCACTGTGTGAGTGCTGACACCTCTTGGGCATTCACTAACACATTAAAATCCACATACTCGCCTTTCCATATTTTCTCCCTAATGTTATTGGGAATGGCCGAGCCTAGTCTATCTCCAACTGGCCGTAGTGGGGATTGGGGCGGGGAGTCATTTACTGCGAACCCGGACCTATGCTCGGTATGTGGTACCGATGAATTACCGATACCTGTGTAGCTAGGTCTGCTGTTATTATCATACTGACTTCCGATTGGCCTAGATCTATATTGAATGCCTCTTGAGACATGCCCTTGATTCCCCGACTCCCAGTCAACATGGGGCACGATTGTAGGGAACGAAGTTAAAAGTGGGTTCGCCCCTGTTATGTGACTATTGTCTGCCCCTCTGTGTGGCCTGGGGCTTGTCGTACCGACCCCAGCACTAATTGCTGTGCAATTAGCCATAGATCTAACTTCGGTTGAAGTAGCATTAGTACCAGTGGGTAGATCAAGATCTAGATCTATCCGTACCTCACCTGTTGACTGTAACTGCAACTGTGATCCCGGCTGTGATGGTTGGGTATTCAGGGCTGCTGCTGGTGGTGGTGGGGTGCTCGAAATTGCTGGTGGGATGCCTGCTGCCGGTAATGCCGAGATCGCTTCAGGTAGGCCTACTCCGCTGTCTACTGTTAGCGGCCGAGACTGCACTGCCCGTGCCCTCTCTGTGCTGCTTGCCTGACGACTGCGCCTCGCCCGTCCGTTGATGCTTGTGGCTGAGCAACTGCTGGCCGGAGTTTGCGCTGAATTGTTAGTTTTCTTGCTAATTGAGCTGGCTCTAGTGCCCTTCCGACTCTTTGCAGCTGTTCTTTGTCTTTTCTGCTGGGCAGTAGCACCGCCATTGGCGCACTCATTAGTCTTTCTCTTTCCCATTTTTTTTTAATTTTTTTGCAGCTCTGAAACAATCGACTGCCTTGAACGGAAAATGTAGCGAGAATGGCTATTCAAAGCGCGCTCATTTGCACGCATAACTTTGCCAAATTATTTCCGCACTAGAAAATGTTCACATGCACACCACATGAGTCGGATCTTTACGCGCATGTTTTGATACTTCTGACCCCAAAGTTTGTTGACCTGATTCGAACTCTTGCTTCTCCCAAAATGTGCTGATCAGTTTATGCTGATCACATTATTTGTTTGAAATGTGCTGAAACTCACATGAAATGTAGATTATTATATACCTCATCGAATACAGGGTGCAAAAATTCTAGCAGCCGACATTAAAAAGGTCTTATTTAAGCGCATATCAATCAATGTGGCAGAACAAACCTAAACGTATAGCGCATAACATGTAGAGTATATCGGTGAGGGGGTTTCGGGCTTTAATACAGTCGCCGCTATTTCCCATTTGCCTTAATTTTGCTGAAAATCACATGAAATGTAGATTATCATATACCTCATCCAATACAGGGTGCAAAAATTCTAGCAACTGACAATAAAAAGGTCTTATTTGAGCGCATATCAATCAATGTGGCAGAACAAACCTAAAGGTATAGCGCATAACATGTAGAGTATATCGGTGAGGGGGTTTCGGGCTTTAATACAGTCGCCGCTATTTCCCATTTGCCTTAATTTTGCTGAAAATTACATGAAATGTAGATTATTATATACCTCATCCAATACAGGGTGCAAAAATTCTAGCAGCTGACAATAAGAAGGTCTTATTTGAGCGCATATCAACCAATGTCCAGAACAAACCTAAACGTTTGGTGCATATAACGTCTAGAGTATATAGAAGGGGGTGGGGGTTAATACAATCGTTGCTGATTTCCCATTTGCTTTAAATGTGCTGAAACTCACATGAAATGTAGATTATTATATACATCATCGAATACAGGGTGCAAAAATTCTAGCAGCCGACATTAAAAAGGTCTTATTTAAGCGCATATCAACCAATGTCCAGAACAAACTTAAATTTTTGTGCATATAACGTCCAGAGTATATAGAAGGGGATGGGGGTTAATACATTCGTTGCTGATTTCCCATTTGCTTTAAATGTGCTGAAACTCACATGAAATGTAGATTATTATATACCTCATCGAATACGGGGTGCAAAAATGCTAGAAACCGACATTAAAAAGGTCTTATTTGAGCGCATATCTATCAATGTGGCAGAACAAACCTAAACGTATAGCGCATAACATGTAGAGTATATCGGTGAGGGGGTTTCGGGCTTTAATACAGTCGCCGCTATTTCCCATTTGCCTTAATTTTGCTGAAAATCGCATGAAATGTAGATTATTATATACCTCATCCAATACGGGGTGCAAAAATTCTTGCAGCTGACAATAAAAAGGTCTTATTTGAGCGCATATCAACCAATGTCCAGAACAAACCTAAACGTTTGGTGCATATAACGTCTAGAGTATATAGAAGGGGGTAGGGGTTAATACAATCGTTGCTGATTTCCCATTTGCTTGAAATTTGCTGAAACTCACATTAAATGTAGATTATTATATACCTCATCGAATACAGGGTGCAAAAATTCTAGCAGCCGACATTAAAAAGGTCTTATTTAAGCGCATATCAATCAATGTGGCAGAACAAACCTAAACGTATAGCGCATAACATGTAGAGTATATCGGTGAGGGGGTTTCGGGCTTTAATACAGTCGCCGCTATTTCCCATTTGCCTTAATTTTGCTGAAAATCACATGAAATGTAGATTATTATATACCTCATCCAATACAGGGTGCAAAAATTCTAGCAGCTGACAATAAAAAGGTCTTATTTGAGCGCATATCAACCAATGTCCAGAACAAACTTAAACTTTTGGTGCATATAACGTCTAGAGTATATAGAAGGGGGTTGGGGTTAATACATGCGATGCTGATTTCCCATTTGCTTTAAACGTGCTGAAACTCACGTGAAATGTAGATTATCATATACCTCATCGAATACGGGTTGCAAAAATACTAGAAACTGACATTAAAAAGGTCTTATTTGAGCGCATATCAATCAATGTGGCAGAACAAACCTAAAGGTATAGCGCATAACATGTAGAGTATATCGGTGAGGGGGTTTCGGGCTTTAATACAGTCGCCGCTATTTCCCATTTGCCTTAATTTTGCTGAAAATCACATGAAATGTAGATTATTATATACCTCATCTAATACGGGGTGCAAACATTCTAGCAGCTGACAATAAAAAGGTCTTATTTGAGCGCATATCAACCAATGTCCAGAACAAACCTAAACGTTTGGTGCATATAACGTCTAGAGTATATAAAAGGGGATGGGGGTTAATACATTCGTTGCTGATTTTCCATTTGCCTTAAACGTGCTGAAAATCACATGAAATGTAGATTATTATATACCTCATCGAATACGGGGTGCAAAAATACTAGCAGCCGACATAAAAAAGGTCTTATTTAAGCGCATATCAACCAATGTCCAGAACAGTCTTAAACGTTTGGCGCATATAACGTCTAGAGTATATAGAAGGGGGTTGGGGTTAATACAATTGTTGCTGATTTCCTATTTGCTTTAAATGTGCTGAAACTCACATGAAATGTCGATTATTATATACCTCATCGAATACGGGGTGCAACAATTCTAGAAACCGACATTAAAAAGGTCTTATTTGAGCGCATATCAATCAATGTGGCAGAACAAACCTAAACGTATAGCGCATTACATGTAGAGTATATCGGTGAGGGGGTTTCGGGCTTTAATACAGTCGCCGCTATTTCCCATTTGCCTTAATTTTGCTGAAAATCACATGAAATGTAGATTATTATATACCTCATCCAATACGAGGTGCAAAAATTCTAGCAGCTGGCAATGAAAAGGTCTTATTTGAGCGCATATCAACCAATGTCCAGAACAAACCTAAACGTTTGGTGCATATTACGTCTAGAGTATATAGAAGGGGGTGGGGTTAATACAATCGTTGCTGATTTCCCATTTGTTTGAAATGTGCTGAAACTCACATGAAATGTAGATTATTATATACCTCATCGAATACAGGGTGCAAAAATTCTAGCAGCCGACATTTAAAAGGTCTTATTTAAGCGCATATCAATCAATGTGGCAGAACAAACCTAAACGTATAGCGCATAACATGTAGAGTATATCGGTGAGGGGGTTTCGGGCTTTAATACAGTCGCCGCTATTTCCCATTTGCCTTAATTTTGCTGAAAATCACATGAAATGTAGATTATCATATACCTCATCCAATACAGGGTGCAAAATCTCTAGCAACTGACAATAAAAAGGTCTTATTTGAGCGCATATCAATCAATGTGGCAGAAAAAACCTAAATGTATAGCGCATAACATGTAGAGTATATCGGTGAGGGGGTTTCGGGCTTTAATACAGTCGCCGCTATTTCCCATTTGCCTTAATTTTGCTGAAAATTACATGAAATGTAGATTATTATATACCTCATCCAATACAGGGTGCAAAAATTCTAGCAGCTGACAATAAGAAGGTCTTATTTGAGCGCATATCAACCAATGTCCAGAACAAACCTAAACGTTTGGTGCATATAACGTCTAGAGTATATAGAAGGGGGTGGGGGTTAATACAATCGTTGCTGATTTCCATTTGCTTTAAATGTGCTGAAACTCACATGAAATGTAGATTATTATATACATCATCGAATACAGGGTGCAAAAATTCTAGCAGCCGACATTAAAAAGGTCTTATTTAAGCGCATATCAACCAATGTCCAGAACAAACTTAAATTTTTGTGCATATAACGTCCAGAGTATATAGAAGGGGATGGGGGTTAATACATTCGTTGCTGATTTCCCATTTGCTTTAAATGTGCTGAAACTCACATGAAATGTAGATTATTATATACCTCATCGAATACAGGGTGCAAAAATTCTAGCAGCCGACATTAAAAAGGTCTTATTTAAGCGCATATCAATCAATGTGGCAGAACAAACCTAAACGTATAGCGCATAACATGTAGAGTATATCGGTGAGGGGGTTTCGGGCTTTAATACAGTCGCCGCTATTTCCCATTTGCCTTAATTTTGCTGAAAATCACATGAAATGTAGATTATTATATACCTCATCCAATACAGGGTGCAAAAATTCTAGCAGCTGACAATAAAAAGGTCTTATTTGAGCGCATATCAACCAATGTCCAGAACAAACTTAAACTTTTGGTGCATATAACGTCTAGAGTATATAGAAGGGGGTTGGGGTTAATACATGCGATGCTGATTTCCCATTTGCTTTAAACGTGCTGAAACTCACGTGAAATGTAGATTATCATATACCTCATCGAATACGGGTTGCAAAAATACTAGAAACTGACATTAAAAAGGTCTTATTTGAGCGCATATCAATCAATGTGGCAGAACAAACCTAAAGGTATAGCGCATAACATGTAGAGTATATCGGTGAGGGGGTTTCGGGCTTTAATACAGTCGCCGCTATTTCCCATTTGCCTTAATTTTGCTGAAAATCACATGAAATGTAGATTATTATATACCTCATCTAATACGGGGTGCAAACATTCTAGCAGCTGACAATAAAAAGGTCTTATTTGAGCGCATATCAACCAATGTCCAGAACAAACCTAAACGTTTGGTGCATATAACGTCTAGAGTATATAAAAGGGGATGGGGGTTAATACATTCGTTGCTGATTTTCCATTTGCCTTAAACGTGCTGAAAATCACATGAAATGTAGATTATTATATACCTCATCGAATACGGGGTGCAAAAATACTAGCAGCCGACATAAAAAAGGTCTTATTTAAGCGCATATCAACCAATGTCCAGAACAGTCTTAAACGTTTGGCGCATATAACGTCTAGAGTATATAGAAGGGGGTTGGGGTTAATACAATTGTTGCTGATTTCCTATTTGCTTTAAATGTGCTGAAACTCACATGAAATGTCGATTATTATATACCTCATCGAATACGAGGTGCAACAATTCTAGAAA